ATATTTAGATAAAAAATTTTTACCTAAATCTAAGTAACAGTTCTGGCGCCCTCACCATAAGAAGGAGAGGCACAAAGTTGATAGGAGGACTGGAGCATCTCCCCTAGGAAGATAGGGTGAGGAAGCTGAGGCTGTGCAGCTTGGAGAAGGTTCCATGGAGACCTTATAGCAACCTGCCAATATCTGAGGAGCCTACAGGGTAGCAGGACTCTGTCTGGAACTGTAGTGATAGGACAAGGAGTAATGGGTACAGTGTAAGAGGGGAAATTTATGTTAGATACAAGGAAAATATTCTTCACTGTGATGGTAGTGAACCACTGGCACAGGTTGCCCAGAGAGGTTGTGGGTGCTCCATCCCAGCAAGTTTTCAAGGCTGGCTTGGATAGATCTCTGAGCAATCTTGCCTAGTGGGAAGTGTCTCCCATGGCAGAGGCTTGGGACTAGACCTTTAAGGTCCTTTCCAACCTGTAATATTCTATGATTCTGTACTTTGTGGTTCAGAGTCACTATAAATTTAATCTGTAAGCATAAGGGCCTTCTTACTGAGATCCAATGCTCTAGAAAATGAGTCTTCAAATATTGTAGCAGCTGTGGTGAGAAACCTTTCTGTCCAGGCACTGTGGACAGTATAATTGAACAATTAAGTTCTAAAACACAGCTAGGAACATGGAGTTAAAGATGGACCAGCAACCCTCAAGGCAGGACAGATTTGCAAATTGTAGTTTTACAGGTTTGGTGGCTCGAGGATGAGCCCTGTGGTGAAATTCCTAGCAGGAAGCCTCAGATTCTACTCACCAGAATTAGCCATCTTTCCTGCCAGTTCAGATGCTTTGGTCAAAATGAGGTCACTGGGCCAACTCTCTGAAGAAGTGTAATTAAAAATTTCTCCACTTCTCCATCTCAAACAACCCATTGACAGTCACTGGATTCCTGCTACACCTAAAATATACTGACAGCCCCACAGCTCTTACCCTCTTTGCAGGAAAAATAAGGAAACATAGCCAACTTTTTTTCTTTAAGACTAGCAACATCCAGGTAAGACCCTGACTAAAAGAATTAATCCTCTCTTTTATTCTTTTTTCTATTAATGGTGATTTATTTAGACATTGGATGCAATTCCACACACACACAAAAAAATCCTCTGTACTTTTTTATGGTGTGGCTGCAGCTGTGATTATCAATTATTATTAGCTGGGACTATCTGCACCTGCCAGGCTAAGTAACAGAGGTGTTGGTGCTGGTGCAGAGAACAGCATTGGAGTTTACTTGACTCACTGGAGAAGATTACCGCACTTCAGCTGAGGGGGAGGCATGAGAAATTGCCTTCATATAAAGCAGGTACTTTGGCACTGGTCACTGTCTCACCCATTGCTGTGGAAGTGGCATCCCCTATGTTGTCACTGGTGGTCTCAGTGGCAGGCAGGACAGCATTGACTTGAGAGCTGTCCCTGCAACCTGAGTGTGCTCAGCACAACTTGCTGCCTGTGCACTGGAACTGAGCACAGGACATGCCACTGCCAGCAGCAGAAAAGCTTTAGGCTCAGCTCTTCCCGCTACAGCAATATCCACTGGGCTTTCTGGAGTGCTCCCTACTGTTAGCCTAACCAGGCTTTCTAAAGGAACCTCTCTTGCCTATGCATAATTGATCTATGTAGCAGAAAGGGACAAAGCTTCTGAGGTATCCATTCCCAAATGCTAGGCTCAGATTCTTTGATGGACCTTATAGAGGTCATAGGTAGAAAAACAGTACTGGGCTCTGCCTCTTTATGGAAAGCATGTGCAGCTACATGAAATATTTATAATACTTTGGGCCAGGAAGTGAGCTTCAACACCAGACGTGTAATTGTCCAGGCTGCCTAATTGCTAACTTGCTCCCCAGCTCTGCTTTGCAACTGCTTTTAACTAATCCTCCTCATGACAATGTCCAGGGGTATTATACCAATGACAGTTCATGTTGAAGACAGCTCCCAAGAGAGCAGTATGGATTTGGGAAATTCTCCACTTGAGATAGGGCTCCAGTAATAAGATTTTCACCACAAGGGTGATGAAGCACTGGAGCACACTTACCCCAAAGGCCTGTGAAATCTCCTTGCATGGTGATGTTCACAGTTTGGCCAAGAAACACCTTCTGCACTGATGCAACTCTGAAGTTAGACCCACTCTGAGCAGATGGCTGGGCTAGCTAGTGGTCCCTCCCAACCAACATTTTTCCATGCTTCATCAGGCTTTGAACCCCCAAGTACTCACAGATGCTTTAAGTGCTACATTGTGGGGTCTGACACGGACTAGAGTTCATGAAACAGAAGATGCTGCCTTGGTGAACTGTAGCACAGTGATCACCATCAGGAACCTGGAAATGGAAAAATCCAGCCTGTGTCAGGCCCCAAGGGCCACCAGAGTGGAGAGGAAATCTGAGGCCACTGTGCTGCAGATGGATGTAACCCTGAGCAATGTGGATATGAGCCAGGTCTTGCCATTTAGCTTTGGGGCTAGTGACCCTTCCATCTCTGAGCAGTAAGGCTGGGCACATAGAGGCTGAAGGAAAAGATATAGTCAGTGTAACATGAAAACCTAGAAGTCAGTTATAACTTCAGAAGGAAGCAAGAGTGTGGTCTACTGAATCCATGGCACAGTCTAGGATTCCAACAGAGCTGCTGTGCTAGTTAAATAAACAATTTGTGAGGAATTCTAAGCTTTCATCAGGGTCAGGGACTACATTTATGAATGTTAACAGCATTCAATAATTATGTAGGCTAAAACAGTCAAAGAACTTAGCAATAAACTGGAAGTTTGGCATGACAGTTTCGTTACAATGAAAACAGGAGAGAAAAATTTAACAGGAGGATGTATGCTTTACACTCAGACAAGATACTTACTTTAGGAAAACCCAGTTACTGTGCTGATAATTCTGATAATTCAGAAAATATCCAGAAAAACCAGGCTATTCTTTATGAAACAAACTGTGGTTTCTTTTATGAAGTTTAGAACTACAGACATGCCTTTAGGAAAGGCATCTGTCTTCTTTAAATCAGGATAATGAGGAAGTTCTTACATAGTCACAGGTAAAAGCTCAGGGATCCAAGTGAGCCTTAGTGTTTTCCCACCCATCTTAAGCATTTATTTCAGAGAGGCAAGGTTTAATAACATGGCCTTTATTGATGACACAGGAAAGCAGATGTTTTAAAGTAATACACTTTATCTGTTTAAGTCACTAATGTACAAAATTTAAAAAACCCAAAAAACAACAAAAACTTCGTACCATCAAGAAGACCTAAGTAGCTGCATTTTCTATAAGAAAGGGAAAAATAAAACAAATTTGCATGGACAGAACTCAATAGTATAAAACAATTAAATGTATGCTATAAAGAATTTTGATTATTTGTAAGCTCAGTCCTTGAGGATGGCTAAAGAAGTAGATCCTAGCAGGATCAAACCTTGCATATTTACACTCAGAGGTGTAAAAGTAATATTGCCAGTTAATTGAAATACGCGTTTTCAGTATTGTTCTGAAAATCTATGAAGTCTAGAAGCTAAATTTTAAATGCAGATGTTCACATTTCAAATAAAATACTTCTTGCATCCTGTATAATTAAGGCAAAGTATGTTATCTTTTGAAAATACCTTCTATATAGTTTTTGCATAAAAATATGAAATAAAATATAAAACTATATATATTTAATGGTATACTGTTATGTATGGTCCAGCAGAATAAGGCACAAAAAGTAAATAGAATGCAAAAGCATATATAGAAGATAATGTGTTATTTTAAGTGGAATATAGCAAAATTCAAGTAGTTCTGAGTATGCTCATTTCTTGCAATAGGAATACATTTTTTTATATAAGTATCTCATGCTAAGCCTGATGTAGAAACATTCATCATGTAACCATAATCTATATTTTTTATAATTTTATGTATGTAATTTGTACAGTGGCTGTATTTAGAAATCTGATTGTTTTTAAACCATCTGAGACAAGGCTCCTTAATGCGACGACTTGGCCTGAAATCCAAGTGTGAATTTTTCCATGAGGCAAAGTATACTGGTTTCCTGCCCAAATCACTTGAACTGGACAAGTTTTGTCTTGCATGCTTAATAAGAAGGTAAATATTTTCACTAACATAAATGACAATACACGTCCCTAAAGTTGGGCACATTTGTGAAGCTTGTTTTCACAGGTGGTGTTCACAAGCAAATTTTCTCTCTCTCAAAAGTTCCACAGAGAATTAGTGTACAGAATGAACCACCTGCATCAGTACAATGGCATTATCGGTCAGAAACCTTTCAGGTGAGCTGGTATTTATTTTGAAAGTATGGTCTGTTTGTCAACAACTAAGCATACACATATAGAGAACAGAGAATCTTAATATATTTTGTGTTGACAGAAGGCACACATCAGCATTTGTTGTCTGACTGCAGCCTCCAAGCAGCAACTCCCCCTTCCCCTCCCAAGTAGTATCTATAAGATTTTCATAAAGGAAGAGGAGAGCAGATGAAGTCTTTACTTCCTTCCCAAAGTTTCAGCTAATTTCTTCAGTCTTTTCTTCAGCTCTAGAGGAAACTTCTCATAACACTTTTTGCAGACAGGCTTCATATCAAACTCAACAAATTTATTCCTAAAACAACAAAGCAAAAGGAACAGACAAAGTTTTAGCAAATGATACAGTGAAAAAAAAAGAATTTAAAAAAAATCTCCTATTAAATGTGCACAAGCAAAAAATTAACCCCCCAATTTATACAAACACATTAAGCTACTTTTACAAGTTATATGCACTGTAGGCAGTGATTACAACACCCTGTTGAGTAAGTTATGCAGATTTTACCCAAAAGCCCATATTTATTAAGTGTAATTTAGAAAGCCTTTCAAACCTGATTGTAGACTAAACATAAGATAATGGAATAACAAGTTAGTATTTCGAGTTGCAGTTGCGTGAAAGATGTTTTGGTTTTGACAGCCATAAGTTCATGCAAAAGTGCAAAAAAAACAAACACCCTTAGGACTAACCAAAGAAGAAAGGAGCCGAGATGGCGGTGAGAAGGAAAAGAAGTTTACAAACAGATTGGCTTTTTCTTTTTCTGCTTGTCTTTATCCTTTGCTTCACGTTCCCGTTTGGCAAGTCGTCGCTTAAATTCATCTGGCATTTTCTCATAACAGTGTTTGCAGACAGGTTTTAGATCAATTTCGACAAACTTATCCCTTCAGAGTTAAACAAGAAAAAATAAAGGATGGAAAAGGAGAAGAGTTAGGAAGACTAACTGAAGGGAGACCTGAAGAGACAGCTGAAAGAGATGGAAAGTACTAAGTGGAGAAAGCGGAAGAAAGAGGGACCTATTTCCTTGATGCTGCTTACATGTTTTTCATGTGGTAACAGCTACACTATAGCAACATCTACACTTTGAAGAGAACCACTGATATGTGTCGAAGACATCACACTTACTTGAGGGTTAGCTTAGTGTTGCAAGTTGAACAAGCGAAACAGTTCACACACCATGCTTTATTCAGAGCAGACACAACTA